TGGTTCTGAAAGAAAACAGTCAAAGATTGTAGCAGAAGTGAAGGACCTTGGGCAATATGACTACAGCAGCAAGAAGGTAGATGGCTTCACAGACCTGGCAAAGCCGGGGATTGTCAGAACTAGATTGAGCATAGGGAGGGAGCTTTTCTTACAAGGTACTGGGAGAGAAAACAGAAATCAGCAGACAAACCTATGATGCTAGTTTAATCTAAAATCTCTTGGAGCAAGGGGATCTGTGTAAATAATTCTGATTTATAGCCCAACTCCCAAATTCCCAGTGAGAGGTAGGACCTAGGAAGGAAGGGATTATCATTAATGATTTAAGCAAAAATGGAAGCACCATTTACCCCCAAAGCTTTAGGGACCCCAGGAAATTTAAGGAATTCAGAAGGCCCTCTGAAGAAATGAACCTAGAATGACAAATAATTTAAAATAGCAGAGAAAGACTAGTTTCTCAATATGTGAGTTGGTTATATGTGACCCACAGATTAGCCAGAAAAATGGAACTGTACAAATAAGCTTTTATCTACACATTTTTTATTTTTTATTTTAAACAACATATTTTGGTGTTGTAAAGGTGTTCAATAAATGTTCACCACGCCCCACCCCCTGCCAAATCCATTCATTGCTTTGCTCTTTAAGAGAACCATATTCACATTCTTAAACATTTTTATTCTAAATATACTTCTGTTTCAAATAAATTTATTTACAAAAAGTATCTTCTAACTTTACAGGTGTTTTGACCTGAACTGTTGGCTATTTTGCATCTACTAACACTACAGTATTTGCCTATTAGGAATGTATGGTTAAGTAATGTTCTAGAAAGATTAGCCATTAAGGGCATGCTGTCTGATATTTGCATGTTAATGTCTATATTACTTAATACATGGGCTAGGAAACAAGCAGATTTAATCTTAAATGGTGAGAAATATTAAAAAGTTCAAAAATATGGAAGCCAAATATGTAAAGGGAATCTGACAAATAAAAGACATGAACAAAACCCAGGTCGATGAGCTTTGTAGTTTCTTAAAGATATGGTGATATACTTCACAAAATAAATAAATGGATGATATACACTCATACCAAATAACATGACTTGTTCTAATCTGTGTTTCTGAAGACAAACTTCTTAGTGGGCACAATGGGGAAATTGTGTTATGAAACTATCTCATGCAAATCCATTTTCATATGGAAGCCAGAACTGAGGATGTGACCTTCTCTTCCATAACATAGCCAGTTTTTGGTGAGACGTAAGTGCAGGAAAAATCATCATTTTTCTAGTCAGTGCAAAGGACTTTTGTGACCTAGCTAAACTAAAGCCAAGCTTCTAGCACTAAACCCATGAGCTAAATAAAAGAGAGGTCTCGTATTTTCTTCTTACCTTTCACTCACAGCTTGCCAATTGTTGACTAAAAATTCCTTTGCAACATACTGGCCAACTTCAGATGCTGCCACAATTTCAATTATATTTGTTTCATTAAAAATGAATGGAGATGTAGTGATGGCATATTCCATATATCTGCAAAAATGTATATGCAGAAAATAAATATGTAAGAATTATCCAATACAAAAAGTTAATTTATATAAGTGAAATTAAAATTCCATATGATTCTAAGTTATTCACAAATATTTATTAATTCTTATCTTAGTACATTTCTATTTTTTTCTCTTTGGTTTATTAATTGCATCCTTTCACCTGGACCTTTCAAGATAAGTTGACCATAATCACCTGTTAAGTATCCATGGGTCTTTACTGCAGCTCATTGCATAAGCAAGTTGAATCTTTTCTTCCTCCTTTGTGTTATTAGTGTAGATATTTAACAAAAAGTTCCATTCTTTATCACTTCCCAAGGCAATGCCATAACATAAAATCACATTTCTAATTGGATAAGGTATTCTGTAAAATATAACATGCAATAAAATTTCTCATAGTAGTTAAGTTATATGTTTATCTAGATTGTCATATATTTAGAAGTATATATCTAGAAAAAAGAAATGTTGAGATCTCAGCTATAAAGGCCAAAAGTAGGGATCTAGAAAGACAACTTTGGGAATTGTCATTAGCATTACTATCATGAGAAGATATCTTGATCAAATTAGTTTAAAAACTAAGGGGTTTTAAGGGAAATTAAATTAGAATAGTACAAATGGTAAGTATATATTGATAATTAAGTTTGGTTTCATATGTTATTATCACATTTCCTAAGAGTCCATCTTAGGTGATATCTTAAAGATAATATAATAAAACCAAAACGACAGTCTTAATCTCAGCTTTCAGTGAGACTAGAAACTCATAAAGAGATGCTCTGAAACATGTGTATGTATGTGTGTGTATGTAAATATATGTATGTGTGTGTATGTGTGTGTGTGTATATATATATATACATAATGATATATATAATGACAAATATATATATAAATGACAATCATAAAAAACAACCTAAATAAGACTCAAAATAATCATAAGTGCTTATAGAGAAAGCACTGGCGATGATAAGTCCTAGGCAACAATCACTGTATAAATTCTAATCTATTGTTATGCACAGACCTACATTACACAATTATATTTTTTAAAAAAAGGACACTTGAAAAAAAAATAGTAGATGAGAGAGATTAACCAAGTGAAAAGAAAACAATCTCTCTCACAGTAAGAGCATCAAAAGACAGAGAAATTGTTAGTCTTGAAACAGGACAAAAACAAGGACAATTACAATATCACTCTTACTCATTCTCTGGATGGTTCACCCAGTTTTTGAAGAGTTCTCTAGACAGCTGAAGACAGTCTTCAAGGCCCAACAAACAGGCAGTTTCAAAAAGTTTTCTCAGTGATATTCTTGAAGGAAAAGTCAAAGAAAAACATTTATTTTGCATTACTACATTATTTTTTCTGCCTCCAAGAAAATGTTTTATAGAAGAATGAGTATTTTAAAACATCCTTCTAATAACATCAAGTTTGCTAAAAAATAGCTTTTGTGGATAGCAAATGCATTTAAGATTCAAATAAATATTTGTGAGAGGCTATCAGGCACCAAATAAACTCCTAAGACTGGTATTTTTTGAAAAGTTAGAAATAAATTACTGCCATCCTTCATCTTCCTCAATCACACACAGTGTACACACACTCCACATCTGTTATCAATTTATTTTTCCTCCCTTTTACAGTAATTGTCTTATGGATAAAAAAATGACTTTAGAGTATTTGATCTAATACATTTAAAAATAAAGTTCTTTATATGGAAAGGAACAGGAATAGTTTATTTCTCTCCTTCAACAATGTGCTTTTCCTTACTTAAGCTTGTTTCTTCTTTAACTCCTGGCTATTACATTTATGTGCAGAAAAAGAATAGAAGTTTTGGTTTTGGTTTGTTTTTATAGTTGAGAAGGGGTACACATTATGGTTCAAAATGAAAAAATGTTGGAAAGAATACAGTGAAGAACAATAAATCCAGATAAGCAGTGCCTTGAGGAATGTCTCCCTACACTCTTTGAATTTGGAGTCAGAGATAAGAAATTAAAACTGGCCATAAGCGTCCAGAAAATGAAGAGTCAAATCTCTACTGCTCCACCCTCCACTTTCAACCCAGCTTGGCCTGACTTTCTGATAAGCAGGAGTGGAATGTCCTAGGGCAGAGGCCCTCTGAGAGACAGTTCTGAGCATTCATTTACACACTCACTCCCTCTCCCCGCCCATTCTAAGCTGGCTACATCAAGAGGGAGTTCTCTAAAAGTACAGTCTAACTCTCCAAGGTTGCTCTGGAGAGAACTAGCTCTGGCATGCTACAAAAAGCAGGTCACTTTTGTCCAATTTAGGAGAACCAAAGATATGGCTGTGTTGTGCATGTTGACATGTGTGCTGCCTGATTGAGCACACTTTTGCCTTCCCATTTATTCACACTACTTGCCTACATACTCACTATTCCAGCTAGTCATCACCATCTTCTACTTGTCCATTCAGCCCTATGTCATTCCAGCCGCAGGCCCTAGCACTAAAATTTTCTCTTCTCAGGATACTCTTGAGAGAGAATAATCATATTTTGTATATTTTGTATTTCTTGCTTAGTCAAATTGATTTTGGCTTGATATTAACTAGAGCTGCAAATATAATTCATGTACCATTGTTGATTACAAACTCCCTCCCTAAACCTAGAAGCCCAGCATATACACACAAACCTTGGGTCAGAGGGCGGCCAGTGGTACCACAGCCCTGTTTTGCCTTTTGCCCCCTTCCCAGACCAACGCAACAACATGCTTACTCCCCTCATCAAACCAATGATGTGAAAATCATTTGCAAGACTATGCTCACACACAATGACTAATATATTTCACTGTCAGCCTCTCTCATCAAATTTGCACAGTGACAGAACTTCTGTCACCAATAATATAAAGAAGGTACCCTTTTCCCTAGAGGCCTTCCCATGCCCTTCAATTGATATAGGCTGACTTTGCTTGGTAAAACCCTTCACCAAGAGTATGATACTCTTACAGTTTCAACCAGTAGCCTGAGATTTGAGAATATAGAGCTATACATTCCTGTGTGTACACATATGTGCTTTGCAGGTAAATTAAGATCCCAAACTATTATTTCCTATTAGGATACATGTAGCTCAACAATTTCAAAGCTATCTATTCTCAAAAACCATACAAATTCTCTCAGTGAATCATAAGTATTAAGATCTTATTATGTAAATCTGGAAGCCTATCTATTTTAATATGAATCATTTTATTCAATTATCACTCTTCAAAAAATACTTACAGAGCTAAATAGTCATCTTGCAATGCTGCCACATTTTCACGAATTATAGTTGAATAGATATTCCATACTGAGGTAAGTCTCTTTAATAGATACTTCTATAAACAATAAAGAAAATATACTGTTAGTTCTGGCTCATAACACTGAATTTGCACTGTATTTCTCTTTATCTGAAAAGACATTAATAGAGACAGATACTTCTTCAGAAATAATTTTTATTTGTTAGGAATGTGTAACTGATTTATTTTTTAACCTCCCTAGGTTCAGTTTTCTCACACAAAAAATGGAGTTTACAATAATATCAATTTTACAGTTTTGTAAGGACTAAACAATATAATGTATGTAAGCTCACTCCTGGCATATAGTAAGAACTTAATAAATATTAGTTGTTATTATCATTTACTATCATTCCAAACATTTCTGGTTGTCTTCAAAATTTTTTTAAAAAAGTGTAAAAAATTTAAAACTATTAAACTTTCTAACTTAAAACGTCAATGTTTAGTACACATACCTCCAAGAAAATAAGGGGAACTGATTTATGCCTTGGACAAATTTGAGCCCTGAATTTGAAATAAACTTTCTTCAATTGAGCTATCAATTGGTAAATAAGGTTATAAAAGTTACACTTTTACAAGAAATCTCCGATAATAAACTAGATGATATTCATCAAAATTCTTTAAAAGCAAGTATTAGTGTTTACTTTTTTACCCAGAACCAGTCATCGGATATTATCAATGAGCCACCTTGATCCTACAAACATCTAATTGCCTTCTTCGGTTGGTGACCATTCCCACATTCGAGTAAGTTCCCAATGGTACTTTGAACAGTAGGGAAAAAAAAAAAGGAACCCTGAGGTATTTGCGATCTCACCCTCTGACTGTCCCAGCAACTCACCTGGAATCATCACCTAACATACTTTCTGGCTTATTGATGGCCCTTAACTCTCTTAAGGGTTGCTCCCTAACTTTTACTTTGATTTTACCTGTACCGTCTTTCTTATGATCACTGTTTAAGATCTAATAATGAAACTTTTCTCCTTTTATATTGTTTCAGTTTTGATGGCATGTCATTTCTTCATTCATTAATTCTAACTTCCCTCTCTCTTTGCAACATCAAAAGCAGTTTCAAACTTTTACTTTTTCTGGAACATGCCTCTCTGGTTTTAAGTGCTGGCCCTACAAATGAGAGTAGTTCAATTATGAATACAAGGTCGTTAAAAGTCATTCTGTTTGACTAACAATCTTTTAGGAAAATAGTTGCCAATAGATATTATTCTTTTCTATAGGAAAAAAGGCATACCATTTCCATCCACTTCTGGTTTCTTAGGACACACTGTCACTTCAATAAGAAATTAGTACCTTTCCAAACTTCTCTCTAACTCATCTACTAGACCAGATCTATGACTAAGGTATTTTCTCCTAAGAATAATCAGCCATTCCTAAGAAAATGAATATGTATATATATGTCATATATATATGTATATACATATATACACACATATGTTTTATATATATAACTAACATAACAGACTATTACTTTTGAAAAGACCTGTTTCACAGATGCTATCTAGAGTACAAAAAGAACAGATTTTTTAACCACATAACAAAGAATGAAATTACCTTTAATAATGGGTATATATCATAGTTGTTCACATCAAAAACAAGATCCCTGGTTACCAGGTTCACCAAGACTGCATGCCATACTATGATTTCATCTTCTTCAGCAAGGTACTTGGTTAAATCAAGTGCTGTTTCAATCTCAATATAATTGTTTCTGTTTGGTTTAAAAACACACACACTAAAAACACCTTCACTTGCTAAATGATTTGCATACTTTCCATGCTTCAATGCTTGACTTCAATAAGGTATGTGAAATCAAGAAACTAGAGGGTAAGTTCCCATCTCATTGATAAGATGGGAACCAAAATGTTGACAGATCTTCCATTTCAATTTGGTATGCTCAAGTGCCCAAATTCCTGGAAGTTATAGAAAATCTAGGCCAAATATTGGCTTAATCATGTGGCAAAAGAATATTTGTGCATTTAGTATGCATTCTTATGAGAGTATAATTTCCACTTAACAATTATTAATTAAAAATCAGTCTCTATATACTGTTATGCCAGATACTAGTGGGAACACAAACTAGAATATAAGACTATGGTCTTGCCTACTATTGAGAAGCTTACTACTTCAGTGGGGAGCTGAGATTTATGTGTAAGAAGCTATTAATAAATCCCTAGAAAAGACAATGGATACAATAAGGTAGCAAAGAAGAAAAACATTTGCATGTAATGGAAAAGTCAGAGAAGCCTCCAGGAGGAGGAATTTGAGAAGAATAATGTAGAATAGGTAAGATAGAACTAGGCTGAGAAAAAGAGGAAGACAGCTTAGGACAAAGAAGATAAAGTGGGAATTAGTGTGATGGGCAGACCAAGCTAACCCAAGGCAGAGGATTTCTTCTGTGTATAGTTGAGTGATGATGGCTAATAGGTAAAGTAGATCAAAGCTGTGGAGAGCCTTGCATGTCAAAATGAAGAGTTTACATGTGGTAGGAAGATGTTTAGACAACTGGGTAACATCCTAAAATTGATGCCTAAAAATTTTATTGTAATTGTGTTGAGGAAGATAGAATGAAATTCAAAGGAACCAAAGACTAGAAACTAATTAATAGGCCAAGCGAAAGATGATGAAAGCTTGGCTTCGTATGGAAGCAGTGAAAGCAGTAAGTAAGGTGAGAATCCAAAAGACTTTTCCAGGAATGAGGAGATAAGACATGGTGACAAGATGGGAAATGTATGAGAATCCAGGATATCTACAAAGTTTCAAGTTTGGGTGATGGGAAGAATAGTGGTACCTTTGAGAAAAAGAGAAAAAAATAATAGCAAGAACAATTTGGAGACAGAAATAAAGTTCAATATTTAAGGTACAGAATTTAAATGACCATAAGATAAACAGAAGAAAGGAAGAGACAAGTAGAGATGTAGATTTAGAAGTCATCAGTATATCTCCCACAAATATTTATTGTGTAACTTATATCTGTTAGGTACTGTACATGTACATAATAAAATAATCACTGAAACCATGAGTTATTCAATGGAAAGATCGAAGAAAATAACATAACCCTGACTGGTCTTAAGGTCACTCACAGCAGTAGGAAGAAGAGACGTCAGATAAATGAGGAAAACCAGGTTTGCATATTGAAGTCTCAGGATTACAAAAAAGAAGTTTCCAGGAGGTAAACAGTATCAAAGTCGTGGCGATCTTACTAAGGAGTTTCAGCAAAGTAGTGAGCAAAGAAGAGCATCACAGGTTATAGAGGGGAAAAGTAGGTACCAAATGAAGGACAAACTAAGTAGACATTCATTCAAGAAATATGACAGGCCAAAGAAAGAACGAATACATTGGATAATTTATTACGTATTCTTCTTAATTTTATTGTCTGAAATTTAAATTCTAAACATATAGTAATTTACCTGGTGAAATAGTTAACAGCATAGTTTATATTAAGTAAATCTAATATAAATAAAATTAATAATTCTGTAATATGTTAAAATATAGGCCATATCATTAAAATTATACCTACAGCCATCACCCTTGGGTAACACATACCACTTCACAATCTCAATTCATAGTCTACTTATCTGCAGCAAGTCTTTTTTTTGGCGGGGGTGGGGGAGCAGATACATCAGCTACTTTATTTCTTTATCTTCCAATATCACAGAAAAATATGAACACATCTACAATCTTCCTAAATTTATCCATTTTAATATTTAACAGCCTTTACAAATGCAAGCCTGATCACTTGTTGTTTACTTAAGTTTTTATTCCTGATTGAGAGTTTAAAAATAATGATGCTTATACTTTTTGTAATAATCCTGAAAATACTTAAACACTACTATCTTTTTTCTATTTATATCTTCTCTACTACATCCTTTTAAAACTTTTCCTTAAAGGGGTTCCTTTTTAAACATTGAATCATCTTTGCTGTTCTTTTAAGACCCTTTAAAAAAGTCTCCATAATCAGTTTAAATCTTATTGTACCTAAGTTAATTTAATTGAAAATATATAGGACTTTGACTGCCAAGTTTTGACTTGAGAAAGAACGTATTCTTTCCTCTCAAATTGTTGTAAAAAGCATTGTCTTCTATGGCTTCCTAATTGTAGTAGACATTATTGCTCTTTCCTGATATGACTTTTTAAATTGGCTTCCCCCCGCCCCCGCCTTTTTTTTTATTGTGTGAACACAGACCACATAAAATTTACTTTGTAACCATTTTTAAATATACAATTAAGTGGTATTAATGACATTTATAATGTTGTGCAACCATCACCACCATCCATCTCTTTAACTCTTTTCATCTTGTAAAACTGAAACTTTATTTCCATTAAAGTATTTCTACCCATTCCCATTTTCTCTCACAACACCTGGCAACCACCATTTTGTCTTTATGATTCTGACTACTCTAAGTACCTCATATAAGTAGAATCCTACAGTATTGTTGTGACTGGCTTATTTCATTGGTATAATGCCCTTAAGGTTTATTCACATTGCATATTTCTCAAATTTTGTGCTATAAAATCCCACTTATAACCACAGAATTTGATCCTAATCTTAATAAGTTAGGGACTGGATAGACTAAAATATCGACTTCACAGTAATGAGGTTATCATTTTTATAAAGTTCTTGAGGTTCGCTCTAAAACCATGAGAGAAGAAAAGATACTCACTTAGACAAGGAAAAGGCATCATCGATCAACTGCAGTCTGTGAATGACAGGAATAGCCTGCAAATTAGATCCCAATATGTGCAGGAAAAGATGAGAACATTTTTTTAGTATAAAATTAATTTTCAAAATAATAACATTTAAAGATCATTGCTGCTTACAAGGCACTTTCATGTGAATTGTCTTGTGCAGAGAAATGATGATTACTAAGGGTATCCCCATAATTTACTTATTATACTTCTGTTTTTGATGAATGATCTCGTTGGACACAAATCATAAGACTTAAGTATGGCAGAGGGTTTTGCCGAAATGCTCCCTGAAAACAGTATGCTAAAAAATAAAACAGGAGGCCAAGTTTAAAAGGCCTCTCTAAGACAGAAAGTATATATTAAATTGTATTACAATATCCAAATTATTGTCAGGGGAATTTTTTGGCATAGGAGGCCTTAAATAAATATTACTTGTCCTGTTTTGGTAATGCTGTTACTCTTTTAAATGGTATCTCCCTTAAGATTTTACTTGGACACAATACCATCAGCAAAGTCCTCTGAATCATGGAGAGGCAGGGGCCAGCCAACTGCAACCTAATTCCTTAGGCTTCTGTTTAAGCTCCTTGACATTGCTAGGCCATGGGACTCTGCCTCTGCCTCAGTGTCCTGAGGATACCCAAAGCCTCTTATCACATGCCTTCAACATTTCCCAGAATTTCCATATATTTGGTCCTAGAAAATCTATCTTAACAACACTCTTTGAATATCTGAGCAAGGCTTAATTTCTAGATTAATATTAATAATAAAAACGTTATTTTATTTGTTCACCAATTATGTTGTAGGAATAACTGATCTCAGTTTTATAATAAGTAAATCTACAATAATTTCAAGAAAATCATTACTATAATGGCGTGTTCTAGTATATCCATAGCCTATAGTACTTTAGAAATTAACAAGAATTTAGCTACTCTGAAAAAGATTTAAAAGTAAAATATTATAAGTGGTGTTTGTAGCTTTATTCAAAAGCTTGATCATAATTTTTAAAAATTGCTAAACATGTTCTGAATTGTATCAGGCCTATGTTAAGCATACAACATATGTCACCCCCATTTAATCTTTGCAACAACCCTTTAAGATTGGTCTGTTACACAGATAAGGAATTATTATACAGATAAAGAAAATAAGGCAAATAAAAATAATAAGACAAATAAAAGGCCGAAGGTCACACATCTGGTAAATGATGTACAAAAATATGAACACAAACCTACCTGACCTAAAACCCACGCTCTGGACCAAATATACCATACTGTCTCTTCTAGAGATGCTGCTGCATGCACATCTTGGAGGACACTTGAAGAGACACCTAAGATATCTTAGTTCAAATCTATTCTCATTTTTACATAGTTTTGCAAGTGGAGTCTCAAGGTTTCTTCTTAAGGTTTCATAGCTGAGCCAACTCTATAGACTTCTAGGCCATTATCCTTCTCCATCAGTGGAGATTTGGTTTAATTCGACTAATTAGAATTTGATTAGAGCTAGCCAAGATTTTAACATTTTTATGTTGCATAATGATTTACAGTTGTTTCACAAATTAAAGTGATAGCGGATTATTGCCGGTATTTTGTAAATTAATTTCTCTCCCCTGAGGGAGAGTGAGAATCAAGTTTTTAGGAAATTAACATATGAGCTTAGAAATTTTAAGTATATGTTGACCTACATCATCTCTAATCCTCATGATGAATAAAAAGGATACATTATTTTCATTTTTAAGTGAAGAAATGGAAGCAGAACATTTAAATAACTTGCCTAAGATGACAAAATTAATGGTTAATAGGAAAATGTATTCTGATTTTTACCTAGAAAGGTAACATTGTTGTGGAAAAGTAGGATTAATGTTCAAAAACATAATACATTCAACCCAAATCTCCTCTTTCTATGAAACAAACAAACAAACAAACAAATAATTAAATAAATAAAAACCCTCCAGTGTGCTTTGGGGTGAGGGGTGGTGATGAGGGTAGGTACACCAGACAGGTGTATGAAAGCTCAACTCTAAAAGGCTAGAGACTGCAATATAAATGCTATTTAATAAAAGGAATAAAAAATAGCCTTACCTTAGGATCTTCTTCAAGTTGTTGATTTAATTTTTTCCAACCCAATTTATCATAATTAACTCTATAATATCCAGTCATATTCAAATTTAAAATCACCCAGTCATGATCAAAATCTGAAACTTGCATTTCAGGGAATACTTCTACAAAGAAATATTTGAAAACTTTGAAATGATACATTTAAAAAATATTTCAATACATGTTTATAATATATCCTTTTAATTCTAAACAATAAACCCAATAAAACAGAAAGAAATCTTAATATATATATCGGCCTTACCAAATAATTATATTTTCCCTATTAATAGCTTTTGATTTGAAACTTTTCTTTAAATCTCTCTGTTCAACAAGAATAATACAATATTTTAAACATGATAGTTTTTAAAAGCTAGATATTTCAACATTTTATTCCTTGCCTTTATATATAATATATATTCAAATATGTATGTGAAGAAATTTTAAAAATTTGTTACTTACTGCTGCTTTTATCTAGCCAGACTAAAGACTGTGTAGTTCCACTTTTTATCCAAAGAATAGGTACAATCCATGTGGCACTTATTGGAAAAAATTTTAAAATTCAGTTAATTTTCACACATGAAAATATAAACAATAAGACTATTTTAAATGAGATAATAAAATAACAGACAGAACTCAAAATTTTTGGCCATTCCCTCTGGATATATACGATTTTCCTCTGAGGATTATTCATTCTTGTTTTTACAAGCTGGTTTTGCTTTGGCTATTTACTCTCTCTCATTGTGTCTTATAGATTTATTTCTTCTTATAACTTAAGGTAGCTACTAAAACTATCTTATATCTGAAACTTTCAAGGCCTATTTATATTAAATTATAGCCACCTGGCCTTACTCAGAGGTTGTTCAAATGTTGCACACAAACCCAAATTTATCCTTGCCAAGAAAGGTAAAGGGTAATTTAAGAAGAAAATGCTTGACAAACATTCTGCCTCAAGCTTTCTTCCCATCTGAAAAGTGTTCAGCATGACTCAGCCAGATTATTCACTTTTACTGAATTTTGACATTCTTCCTGCATTGGTGGACGTGACCTGGACGAAGGGACTGACCATTAGTCATCTGAAGGGACACACTACTTGGAGTTTGGGCAATATGTCCAATCTTGCTCTAATGCCCACAAGTCCGCTTTCTCAAAGACTTTAAACTGAGGATCTGTGTTTTATCTGATAACTAAGGCATACCTCTTACAGTCACAGAATATCACAGTGAGAAGGGACCTTCAGGTCTCTCTCCTGTTCCTTTCTCCTGGGGTTTTAAAGAAAGAGTAGGATGACCTGAAAATTTTGGTGGTGGTATTTAAAAATTAATTACTGATTTGTGCTGATACTTACTACAATGAGATGTGAGGATCAAAACTCAAAAACAGTTGAAAATTATCTAATGAGTTAAGAGAGGGGAAGGGAAGGAGAAATTAATGAATGCTAAGCCACTGTATACTCATTATTTCATTTCATTTTTAAACCAACCTCCAAGGATACATGTCATTATGTTTACTTTATTTATAGATAAGACAACTGAAACTCAGAAACTTTACATAAGACTTACCATATAATGATTTTTTTTTGCATTAATAGCTTTTGATTTGAAACTTTTCTTTAAATCTCTATGTTCAACAAGAATGATATAATATTTTAGTTCTAAACAAGGTAGCTTTTCAAAGCTAAATAGTTCAACATTTTATTCTTTACCTTTATATATATAATTTATATTAATGCATATTTATGAGGATAAGGTTTGAATTTTGGTGAAGTCAATATCTGAACCCAAGTCTAATGGTATCTAAAGGTCATAATTTTAATATTATAGGTATGGCTACAAATACACACATACGTGCATGTGCAGACATATAAAGAACTATTTCTCAAGGACCTATTTTCCATTCAGTACTATTTCTAGAGAAGAGAAGATGACCTTGCAACAGGATCTTCTTTTCTCTTAACTAACATGAGGTCATCCACAGTTCTATCTTATTGCCTCACAACCAGAATCTCGAGTAATGCACTACCTCTGTCTGAAAGAAAAAGGAATACATAACACCCAAAGCTTTGGTCAGTGGTATGGCCCTAATCCCAGGGGAGGGGCACTACTCGAATCCCTAAATGCAGGTCTCTGGCCTAGCTCAGGACATCAGGGGCTCAACCTCATCTTAGCACCCCAATAACATCCTGCGTGGACTTCTAAGTCACCATCCCAGAGTCACTTTGCAGAAGGGTGTGTAGCCAGTAGGGGTTATATTTTCTCACTCACAGGCTGGTTTCCATCTGATCAGAGCTCAACGTCAAGAAAAATGAAGACAGACGAGCAAATCTACCTACTTGTGAGTTAGAAGAGTCTGATTTTTAACATTTTCACGATAAAATGGCTCCTGTTTCACGATGCCAGTAGATACATTTAAGGTAACAACTGGAAAACCACTCTGGTGTGTCCAACTATCCATTATGATTTTTACTGTTGCTGGCAAAACAATTTGACTCTGGTCATCTATGGCCTGTTTTAAAAAGTCATCAAAAAAGCAGATATTTATCATCAAAATCTTTTGAGGTAGCAATCTCCTAACTACATGGCTGTTCTATGTAGTAATTCCCAGTGGATGATATTCAGGGCTAAATTCAGAACTCTGTTTAGCTCTGAATGGCTCCTGAGTTTGTTCATTCATTCATTCATTCATTCATTCACTGAACACATATTTATGGATCTAATATGTACATGCTCTCTTCTGGGCATAGGAACACAGTGGTGAAGACTACAGAAAAGCTCAACCTAACGGAGTTTCATAAACAAGGCAAAATTGTTTTCCTGTGGCATTGCCGTACACACATGGCTGCCCGATCTTGTTGAAGTCTATCATACAAAACAACTCAGTAGAAACATGTCAGGAAGTAGGACAGCTACCATTTGAAAATGCCTCCATAGATCATCTTGTTCAGCGTTTGAGTAAGAAAATGTCTCCAAATACGACTGTAAAAATAGAAAAGTTAAGATTACAATAAACCACATGCCAAAGCAATTTATGTTTCCTGCCTTTCAAGTAACAACAATTTTGTAAACTCACCTTAAGTGCACTGATAAATAAATTCTCATTCAGGAAACCAGAAAGCATCCGGGCCATAGACGCTCCCTAAGACATAAGAAACTGTCTGTAATTTGAACAAAATTCAATATCTAAATACTGACACATTCCATTTTCATAAGCAGTATTCAGAGCTGTACTCCTGACTGCATTGTGCACTTTATTTGAATGTTTCTGTTATTCCAGAATATGATAATAAAATAACAGACTGTCACTAATTAATAGGTAAATGGTGAGCAAATGTCCTACATTAAGAGTTCAGGGTACACAGAAAAAATTTAATTTAGATATTTACATGGCAAGAATAAATTTGCACCAAACAGAAGATTTCACCTTAAAAGTAGCAAGTTGTCTATTTACAATGGTAGATAGTACTAAGCACCTAAAGTGGGCCTGATTAATATTTAGTAGATAAGAATTGATTTAACCACATTTTTAAAAATCTATCTACTGAATAAAATTAAGGTTATTTATATCAAAACTTGTACAGTATCATATTGTCATATCATCTTTAGAATACATTTTATGCAACTTTCTGCAAGAATGCAGAACAACAGGAAATATATAACCAATTTTACCTTGTTATAAGTAAATAAGTCAAAGAGCTCATTTATTTCATTTGTTTCTGTGAAATTTTCCATCTTCATGGATACAGCTCTAGATACCAGGGCGTGATCTTCTTTGAGAACATCATGTAAAATGTCAGAAAAAAAAATCTCATTCTAAAAGAAAAAAATTGAGCTACATTAACTTCTGAGATGTCACAGGAACACAAAATTCAATGTTCCCAAAATACTTTCAAAAACTAACATTGATAAGGGAGAAAAAATAATCGAAAAGTGCTCTGTGAGCTGTAATATGCCAAATAAGTCAGGATTCCATGAATAATAAAACTCTAGGATACTTTTCTTCCCATTTGGTGTCCTTTCTTATTTCAATTTTTTAAAAACCAATTATAAAAGTTAATGTGATTTCCAAGATAGCCATCTACATTTCCCTTAAGGAGGTCCCTGAACACCCAAAGAGGGTCCTCCAGGGAATAGCATCTCTTGGTGGTTTTAATTCCCTAGAATTTTATTGATAATTTTATTAGTAACCCCTTAAAATCAACCAGTCTCTCTTAAATGGGCATTTATAAACCAAAAGCATGCCAGATTTACAAATTCGCAAGGATGTTGATGCAGTAATTTGTAATTGGAAATAAATCCACAGATTGGATATTACAGTTTATAGCTCATGCATTAAGAGAAGGCAAATGATTATATTTTAATAAGAAGTACAGAACTCTCCAAAAAAACTAGATCTCTCCCATACACATGACAAGGGTCGTTTCTTTCAGGAAAACCAAAGTATTGCCAAGAGGTGCATGGGATGAAAGAGCCAAAGAAAGGACAGTGGAGGAGCTAGTGGACAGCTTACTCATACCCTACAGAGCTGTGAGGGCCCCTGATAATCCACATGAAGTCTCAAGTCCCTGACTCTCGGGGCGTCTCCATGTTGACTCTCTCACCCCTGAACAGTGTCAGATAAACTTTCAAATTCTGTCCCACTTCCTTTAGCCGATGCTCCAATCAACCCTCTCCTATTAGAGATTATTTTTAGATTTATTAATACCATTTATAATGCTACTATCAAACTCTGAGAAAGCTTGCCATTTAAAGCAATGCATATCAAACTTTAATGTGAATAAAGACACCTGGATTTTGTCAAATTCATATTCTAATTCAATTGGTTGGAGCCTGTATTTCTAATAAAATATCAGATGATGCCCATGTTGTTAGTTCAGGAATCATACTTTGAGTAGTAAGAATTTCGAGGAGACATCTTCATAAGTCTGATCTTATTCATTATGTATTGGTTTTATTAGTTTAACACTCAAGAGTTCTGTTTCTGCATATGGTTCTGTGATTCTCATACTCAGTTTCAATCTAATGACTAGACTCGAGGAAGCCAAAGTTCATGATCTCTCAAAGATCACTGGAACAAGGCCTTAGCTTTTAAGAACAAAACTTGTGGAAATTTTCTCAAGTGCCAGGATCTGATGCTCTCTGGCAAGAGTTATATTCATTCAGCTCTACAAGCAATTGAGAAATGTAGATGCAGAAAAGAGTGATTAAGAAACCAATGATAAAAACAAATAACTAAATGGTACAAAAAGAGGTTAATCTTACCATTTTAGATTCAAAAACACCAGTAATATGTTTTTAAGTTTTCCCAGATATGATAGCCATTTTAGTTGCATGAAGAAGTAACTGATTGATGTTAATAACATAATCTATTTAATTAAGAACATAGAGGGTGAATCTAATTATTTTATGGGAATGGAACTTCTTTCCTTATTAACTCTAAGCACAGAGTTAATTTGAAATACAACCAAATGTTTTCAATAATGGTTAGAGAAGACACTAACCATGTATATATTCTATTTTATAAAAGAAAGATATAAACAATTTTGTAGGTATAAAGTATATGGAAAGGACTTTTTTAAGACAACTGCGGTTTACTATATGTATATAAATTTAAATATATAAAGTCACATAATAAACATATACACGCGCGTGCGCACACACACATGCACGCACACACGTGCACACACACGCGCGCGCATACACACACACACACATACACACCATTAGCTACTAGAGAACAAGAACACTCCCAGATGCTTTCTCTGGAGAGCATGGTAGTTAAAGGCATGGGCTTTGTGGTCACAGAACCTGGGAATTAAATCTCATGTCTGACATTTAATAGCTGTGAGACTTAGAACGACTTACTTAACATTTCAGTTTCCTCAACTATAAAATAGAAAAAATAATAACTACACTCAGATGTTTGTTTAGGAGATCAAGTAAGATGATGTATGTATAGAACTTATACTACCTGACACTTAAGTCCTAAGTGCTCAGTGAATGGTAAATACAATATTATCATCATTATTCTCATCATCAGACTTGATCTAGACAAGTGGGTTGTAATCACAGATCTGTTCCAATCGGTGGCCTTGGCAAGTCACCTAACCCTTCAATACTTTATTCTCTTGATCTATATAATGATGTTCAATGCAGGGGAGAAAGAGCAGAGGCACCACAGAGCGGCTGGACTGTGGGGTGGTAGGCATTTTATAGGATGTCTGCAAAAGAGGGTGGGTGGCATGAAATTGGGACATTAAGAGGCTGCTATATCAGTGCTTCTCAGAAACTGTAATTTCACAAACAGATGAAAAAAAAAATTTTTTAAGTTTCCGTGAGGCCAAGATAGGTTTGTCAACTTTTTATTCTGCCAACTTTTTAATCAACAAAACCCAAATACCTATCTACCATCACGATCCTTTCTATAAAAGAAGGGAAATCTTACTACCAATATAATAGACAGAACATAATCTTAGAATTTCTTTCAAAGTGAAAAAATTTAGTCTGTAAGGAAGATCTGGCCAGTGGAAATACATTTTAAAT